GGGGGGGGGGGGGGGGGGGGGGGGGGGGGGGTGAAGAACCGCTCAAGGTCCCTCTTTCCCCCAATGATTGATCTCTTAGCGTTGTTTCTTGGTGGTTTGCAGGAAAAGGGGAAAGAAATGCAGGAGGAAACAAACGGAGGAAGTCCTGCATTATTTAGTTCCTTCCCTTTAGTAAAAGCGTGGTTGCCTGTGAAAGACCGAAATGTGAATTTATTTATTTATTTATTTATTTTATTTATTTATTTATTTGATTTGCCAATTGTTTACAAGATAATAAGTATAAATGTATACATAGTTGTGAATACATGAAATGGGTACATATAAGAAAAATAAAAGAATAAGAGAAACAATAGGACAGGGACGGTAGGCACGTTGGTGCGCTTATGCACGCCCCCTATGCGCTTATGCACGCCCCCTAATACTTTTTAATACTTTTTTTCCCCAATTCAGTCGGGTCGAGTGTAATGAAGAAAACAGGTTTTTTTGATTGGCACTTTTGCGATGCTTTCATTTTATTATTGTTACTATTATTACTATTATTATCATCATCATCATCATCATTATTATTAAATCTTTAGTGAGATTCACAGCCTTTGGGGCTGGTTGGTAGCTCAACAGCTCGAGTCCTAACCAAGGACCTAGGAACTGTTCAGGTAGCGTCGGAGGATATAAGCTGTTCCAAGTAGGGTAGTTTTTTTGTAAAATCAGGGTATTATTATTATTTTATTATTATTATTTAACATAGGTCATGTACAGATCCAATCACTTGATATGCAACACTAATAGAACTCATTGCAGGTACAAATCCAAATATAAATGTAAATAAAAGAATAACATTATCAATTGGAAGGGATCTTGAAGGTCTTGTAGTCCAACCCCTTGCTCAAGCACCATAAAATTGCAACAGGATACATGTTATACAAGTAGTCCTCGACTTACAACATTTTGCTTAGTGACTGTTCACAAAGTTACAACAGCACAGAAAAAAGTGAGTTATGAACATTTTTTCATAGTTACATTCTTTGTGTCATCCCCATGATCATGTGATCAAAATTCAAATGCTTGGCAACTGGTTCATACTTATGGCCATTGCTGTGCCCCAAGGTCATGTGATCACCTTTTGCAACCTTTTGACAACCAAAGTCAAATGAGGAAGCCAGATTCACTTAACCGAGTTACTAACTTATCAACTGATAACAGCTGTGGCAAGAAAGGTCGTAAAATGGACGGAAAACAAATCTCACTTAACAGAAATTTTGGGTTGAATTGTGCTCGTAATTCGAGGACCACCTATAATTGGTTATCTAAGGAAACTGACTGTCTAACAGCCTCTGATGTGATTGCAATGAAATCATGCCGGTTCCTTGAAATTTCCTAAGGAAGCATTCTTAAATTCAATGCTTTTGTGATTTTGGCCAAAAATTCTTTAAAAAGAACTTTTCACTGTTTTTTCCCTCCCTTTTTGCAGAAATGAAGTCGGTTGCCAGAGAAATTAATGCACAAGTTATGTTTCCCATTGCAAAGAGGGATTCTGATCTTTTATAACAGTTGATGTTAATGGCCAGATTAATCTAAGATGTTTAACAACTTGCATGACAGCCATGTTTTATATCTGTATAAAAACTAATCCTGGCAATGACTAGTTGTCTGCTGGATGTGAAAACACTGCATGGATGTTGTAGTTGGTGGGAGTGTAAGTTGACTTCCGAAATAATTTATAGATCAGAGTTTTCCAACCTTGTCAACTTTAAGATTCATAGAGTCCAACTTCCAGAATTCCCCAACAGCCATGTTGGCTGTAGAATTCTGGGAGTTGAAGTCCAGACATCTTAAAGTTGACAAGTTTGGCAAACCTTGATCTACAGAAAATATATATATCTGCAGATCCTACCCTGGCATACTTAGGGTAAATCTGGATGTGGATTATGACTGTGGCATCTTGTCTAAAATGTGTCAGGACTGGACATAATAAGACTGATAACCTTGTTACCCCTTCTTGAAGTTCCTCATCTTTTTACCTGAAAGATTCAACCAAAAATCACTATCCTAGGCAAAGCTGTTATCCACGGTATGTGGAAGATTATAACTTGAAATTTAAGAAGAAGAATAAGTGGAAAGGAGGTTCATTAACAAGTGATAGGAATGTAAGAAAAAATAAGACATTGTGAACCCGAAATTAAGAGGAGAGGCAGTTTTCTCTAGTGGGTAAGGCATCAGACTAGAAACTAAGTTGTAGTCCTGCCTTCCTTAGGGATGAAAATGAGCTGGATGACTTCTGTCCAATGGGTTCCAGAAGACATCGATTTCTAGTTCTGCCTTAGGCACAAAAGCTGGCTTGGATCACTCTGGGCCAGTCACTGTTTCTCAGCCCAACCCATTTCACAGAGTTGTGGGGAAAATAGGGGGAGGAAATATGTTCCCTGTCTTGAGTTATATATAAAATAATAAAAGACAGGATAATAATATCAGAAAGAAAAGAATGAAGAAAGGGAGAGGGGGGGGAGTCTGTAATAGACAAAAGTGGTCAAGAAGCTATTAAGTCAATCAGAATACACCTGGAAGGGACCTTGGAGGTCTTCTAGTCCAACCCCGTTCAAGTAGGAGACCCTATACCATTTCAGATAGGTGACTGTCCACTCTCTTCTTAAAAGCCACAACTTCTGAAGCCCAGCTATTCCACTGGTTAATTATCCTCACTGAGGAAGTTTCTCCTTAATTCCAAGTTGCTTCTCTCCTTGATTGGTTTCCATCCATTGTTTCTTGTCTTGCCACAATTGAGCCCAGAATGTATGTTGCTAAGCGAGAAATTCCTTAAGTTTTTGCCCCATTGTTAGGGTTTGAGGATTAACCCCTAGCAGAGTATTGCAGCAGTAGTCAAGCCAGGCAGCCAAAGGAGAGCGGAAGGGCCCCAGAGTATACACACACTGAACACAAACACTGTTTGTAGTTTAAATAGTTTTTAATCCAGTTAGAGTTTAAGCATTGTCATTCAGTCCATTAAGTCATTCACAGTATTTCCATCCAGTAAGACTCACTAGTATAGTCCAAGTTAAGAGTCCTTGCAATATCTTTATCAGCCGATAAAGATATCTTCTCCTCCTCCGGTTTCACTCTCCAGAGAAACAAACGCTGGATATTCAGTAGAATTACGCAGTAAATCAGCAAAACAGTAGCAAACGAAAACAGTTCAGTCACAGGCACTCACAGTCAGTAATCACAGTTAGTCGCAGCAGCACACAGTTACAGACAGCTCAGACAGTAACTCACAGTAACAGCAACAGACAGTAAGCTTTCCAGCTTCTAATGCTTCCTTATATTGTAACTTCTAACCGCACCCTTAATCGGCTAATTGCCTGCTGCATTGTGCTTAAAGTGATAAGCACTTAAACCATGATATCTAAGTTTTATATATTTATTCACCCAAACCATATTTGGTATCAATGTTATACCTAACACCCATTTTATGACTTTTCTTGCCACATTTGTTAAGTGAATCACTGCAGTTGTTAAATTAGTAACATGGTTGTTATGTGAATGTGGCTTCCCCGTTGACTTTGCTTGTCAGGATGTTGCAAAAGATGATCACATAATCCCGGGACACTGCAATCGTAAATCACGTGACCATGGTGATGCTGCAACAGTCAGAAGTATGAAAAATGATCATGTCACTTTTTCCAGTGCCATTATAACTTCAACCAGTCACTACATGAACTATTGTTAAGTCAAGGACTACCTGTATATGTTTGCAAGATTCACAGTTTAAACAAGAATATACAGTATATCCTAAAATTAGGCTCTCATGGTACAAATCAAATCGACCCCATCAGGGCTATTTCAAACGTGTTAAGAGTTCAAATTCTATAACCCCGTGTTTCTCAACCTTCTCAACTTTATGATACATGGATTTCAATTCCCAGAATCCCACTTTCTTAGAGTTGCCAAGGTCAAAAAATACAGATAGGCCTTGACTTATGACCACATTTACAGTGGTGGGATTCAAAAAAATGTACTACCGGTTCTGTGAGTATGGCTTGGTGGGCAGGGCAGGGGAAGGATCCTCATTCCCACCCAAGGGTGGGATGCTACCGGTTCTTCCCGGTTCTAAAGAACCGGTAGCTCTGAAGAACAGCAGACACCAAACCAGTTCTGTGTTTTTGCTGTTTTGGCCCACCCGCCTGCCCAGGCTCTTACCTGTCTTTTATTTCCTGCTTTTTCAACCTCAGCTGCTTTGCACGGCACAGCTGAGGTTGAAAAAGCAGGAAAAAGAGGCTTTTCAAACGCTGTGCACCTGCACGCAGTGCTTATCAGCTGTCCAGGTGGTTCAGCTGAAGGTTTTTTTTACACATGCGCGCAACGTAGTTAACACCAGTTGAATCCCACCCATGTTTCCACCCCACTCCTGGAGAAGGATACTGTAAAATCCCCATTCCCTCCCCACCCCACTAACCTGCTTTCCAGCTCTGTTCTCCTGGGCAGGGCCACCAAAGAAGACCCAGCCGATCTGCTGGGACTCGGGAGACAGAAAATAGATGGGGGCAGGGCCAGTCAGAGATGGGATTTGCCAGTTCTCCGAACTACTCAAAATTTTCGCTACCGGTTCTCCAGAACTGGTCAGAACCTGCTGAATGCTACCTCTGCACCACAATTGAGCCCAAAACTTCTGTTGCCAAGCGAGACAGTTGGTGAGTTTTGCCCCATTTTACGACCTTTCTTGGCACAGTTAAGTGAATCTCGTCAGTTATTAAGTTAGTTAGCCCAGTTGTTAAG